GGAGGAGGCCATCTCGACTGATGCTAGCAACGCGACGGCTTCAAGACGTGCTTCATCAAGCGAGGGTTGGGCGGTGGGGAACGCGAGGACGGTCGCCTCACCCTGCAGTTTGGCACAACCCCCCACACAAGCATGTGGCTCGTGTATATTTGCAGCAACCGGTGCCAGTCTTGACCCTCGGGACGAGGACTCAGCCACCACACCGCCAATTCGACTGGGTTCATCCAGACAAAAAAGCACTACCGACGCTTCGACGACCCGCAGCCGCCAAGTACACTGTACATGGCGCATCGACGCCTCATGCGAAGCTTACGACAACGCAACACCCGTCTTCACAATAGCTTCGCAAGCCCGTACGTTATCGATCACGGTGGAGCGTATCTGGCGAGCCTCAGCACAGCGACCTTAACGTACACGCGGGTGTTTCGCTCTCGCCGAGTTCCGTCAACTGCATATCTTCAGTCGGCCGTCTCGACCACCAGACACACACTACTGTAGCTGAAGTTGCGAGTTGGCTGGCCGTGGGCGTTGTCGGCCTCACTGACTGCGTCGAGTTCTTCGGCTCAGCAGTCGCGCTGCGATGCGGAGGTTGTTGGCCGAGCCTGCTGTAGCTTTTGCTACATGGCGACAATGTACCGTCTTGCGAAGCGGGACACTCGAGCAACACTGGACCAGTGGAATCGATGGGCCATATCCAAACCATGCTCCCGGCCCAGTGGTATCGACTTGAGCTCGGCTCAACCATAATGCTGGACGCGGTGTCATGGGAAGAGACTAGCAGTACTAGAGTAGCATTAACGCATCCGAGTTCGTCGTTTACTGGTGCTTGAACGTCGGCGCGCGCTTGTTGACAAAGGCGTCCATGCCCTCCTTCTGGTCGTGCGTCGCAAACGTGGCGTAGAAGAGGCGGCCTTCGTACTTGAGACCTTCCTGGAGCGACATCTCGTACGACGCGTTCACCGCCTCCTTGGCCATGCGCGTGATCGGGCGCGAGTGCGAGGCAATCTTGTTGGCGATCGCGAGCGCCTCCTCCATGAGCTTCTCCGCCGGCACGACCTTGGCCACGAGCCCGTCGCGCTCGGCCTGCTGCGCGTCAATCATGTCGCCCGTCAGCACCAAGTGCATGGCCTTGGACTTGCCAATGGCGCGGATGAGGCGCTGGGTGCCGCCGGCGCCGGGGATCGTGCCGAGCTTGATCTCGGGCTGGCCAAACTTGGCCTTGTCGCCCGCGATGATAAAGTCGCACATCATCGCGAGCTCGCAGCCGCCGCCGAGCGCGAAGCCGTTGACGGCCGCGATGACTGGCTTATGCACCTTGGTGATGTCGCCCCAGCTACCAAACATCGTCGAGTTGTACACTTCGATGAACTCGCGCGTGGCCATCTCCTTGATGTCGGCGCCAGCTACATGAAGGCATCGTTATGCACCATCTATGCAGGAGGCGAAGCGTACCGGCAAAGGCCTTGTCGCTGCCCGTGAGGATGATGGCCGAGATGTTGTCGTCCTTGTCAAAGGCGTGGGCGGCCTTGTTGACCTCTTGCATCAAGCCGTCGCAGAGCGCGTTGAGCGCCTTGGGGCGGTTGAGCTGGATGATGCCCACCTTGCCGTTGACGTCGGTCTTGATGTACTCGAGCGTCTCTACGCCCAGAGCATGAGCGGACTAGTCATCATGCCGATAGCATGCATACGGGCGCTAAAGGAGCGAGCCAAGCTCGCATGGCGAAGCGTGCGCGGGACGCGGAACATGAGCACGGCGAGCGTCAGTCGATTTTGAGCCGCAAATCCCAAACATCAAATCCTTTGCTTCGAAGTTCGATTTATAGCTTCGAACTTCATGTTGAAGTTGCTCAAAGAGCGGGTCAGTGTTGAAAACAACATCTTTTGTCCATGCTAGAATGAGGTTATTGCGTATTACTCGTATCACCGCATTTGACTCAGACACTTGACAAACTCCGAGTAGGCCAATTTCCCATCCCGGTTGGTGTCAAAGGCGTCGAGCATATCGAGGATGTCGCGGTCGCTGGCTTGGATCCCGAGCACATCGTGGAGGAGCGCAATGAGTTCGTTGGGCTCGACAAAGCCAGAGCGGTCTTTGTCTGCCGCCTTGAACGCGTCCTTCATGTTGTTGAACGTCCCAAAGATCTGCCGGTTGAAAGTGTGCCGGAGGCGGGCGAGTGCCGGTGCAGCGACGGCGACCGTGTGCGGGCGGAGCTCGGGTCGGCTCAGCCGGTGGTGCATCGACGGCGACTCGAGTTCGCGCATGGGCGGAAACGAAGTGCCGTGCGTCGTTTGGCCAAAGTAGTTGCCGTCGGCCTCGTCCTCGCCCGACCCCGGCGTGTAGTGGAGCTCGTCGGTCATGAGCTTGATAAACTCGAGGTACCCGATGCCTCGGTCGTGGTCGCCCGCCGCTTCCTTGTGCGGGTACGAAGCTTGGACAACGTCAAAGTCCTCGTCCGTCATCGGCAAGCCGAGGTTGGCCATGCAAAACATAAACTCGTCCCGGCTGAGGTACCCGGACCGGTCAATGTCGATCTTGAGGAAGCATGCGCGTAGCGAGTCGTATCGTTCAAAGAGCTTGGTGCGGATTTGACCGACGAGCGCACCGGACACCGGGTCACGGGAGGCGACGGACGACGACCAGAGCGCGCGACCCTCCCTGCTCTCGTCGCTGCTTTTCGGGTCCATCGCAGGCTCGGGGGCCGCCTTTGTGTGGACGTGTGCTGGCGGGCCAGCGTCGCCCTGCAAATTGGCGAGGAGCTGCCGTAGCCGCGCTACTTCGTCCTTGGCCGCCTTCCAGTCTCCGTCGGGAATGTCCGAGACGTCGCGGGGCTTGCCCAGCTCTTGGGTCACAACTGTGCTGACGGCTCCGCCCATGCTATCGGGAGGTTTCGAGCACTGAAACGTTAGAAAGGGCACACATGTATATTAATCTGGCATCAATTTAGGGATACGCAGCCTTGCTCGTCGACTCGGACACGGCGTACGCCGACGGTGGCCATGTCATAGGGTTCGTTTTCACAGCGTCGGTTGGCACGTAGTGCGAACGGTCCCACCCAAAGAAGCGCGTGTCGCCGCTGCTCTTGGTCCAGTAGCTGTCAAAGTTGTCGTAGTAGTGGCGGTGGTGATGCCAGTGCTTGCGCTCGCGCGCCCCAAACGTAAACCCGACGATGGTAGCGCCGCCGATCCACCATTTCGCATCGCTCGCAAAGAACCATTGGCGAAAGTCCTTGGTTGAAGCGAGCGATCGCGTTTGCAGCTCCTTGGCCGTGGCCGAGAACCATACGCCGAGTTGCTGCTTGGGAAACTCGGGCGGCGGCGTCGTCTTGGACGAGCAGAAGCGGCGCGCGGCAGAGGCAGCTCGTTGCATGGTCGAGGAAATTGGAGAATGGGTAAACTGGGGACGCTGATCCAGCGTGACCTTTCTGCGACCAGCGTTCTTGGTGGTTTGGGTACCGATAATCCTCCTCCTCACCCCTCTTTGGACACTGTGACCAGAAGTGTATCGTGAGCGAGACCATCATTGCGCTCTCGGAATGTATGTAAACCCACCACCTTTAAATTAAAATGCAGATTCGATACAAATTGAAAGATAATAATAAAAAGTCTTAAAATGTTTCGGCATCGTCGAGATCGCATCAGCAGCGGGCATTGTTGTGCATTCGCGTCATTGCCCATCATTCGACACGTGAACATACGCTTTGAACGAACCCTTTCCACTCGGTCATTTTACCTTTTACCTTTGACCAACGACCATGAACGTCCTCCGAACCAGCACGAAGCGCCTTGGCGCCAACGTCCGCCTCGCCTCGCGCCGGTTCACGACCGAGGCGGCGCCCGAGATGCCAAAGCCCAATGCCAAGTTGAGCTATGACGAAAAGTGGCAACGGCACTCGAAGAAGTATATTTTCGGCACGTTCATCGCGGCGTACGTCCTCGGGTCCATGGTCTCCCGCGGCTCGTCCTGCGACTCGAAGCGCGAGCTCCGCCACCGCATGCGCGAGATGCGCACCGAGAACGAACACCTCGCGGCCCGCGTCGATGGGCTCCAGCGCGCGCTCGACGAGCAGCGGCGGTACCAAGGCGCGTACCAAGCCCCGGCCACGTCTGCGGTCGAGCCGTATCGCAAGTAGTATGCACATAGTAAATGGAATACATATCGTAAGACGGCTGTGAATAAGTCCTCGTAGTCGGAGGAATCGTACACTAATAGCGCTGGTTGACATCGAACGACGGTGTACTGCGCTGCCTCCCAACTTTTGCACCAACCCGGTCACCTGATCCCTGAATGGTCAACACCAGAATCGGACGAGCTAATCTGGAGTACAATACAACGCGCCAGTCCTCACGCGATCATAATCTATTTACACCATTGCACTATAGCGAGGTACTTTCTAAAGCTCTTGTCGGGCCCTTGCACAGTCGCGAATGTCCTTGGACGACTACAATTTGGTTGGAGGTTGGTTACCAACTGGCGCGTGCGTGCGCCGGATGCGTTTGGCGCCAATTCTAGAAATTGCCCGACGCCACCAACTACACTGGCGCTACGCGCCACTGCTGCAGAGTTGGATGGCTATCAGTATAGAGTTTTCAAAAATTCGCCTTGAGACGGCCCACCTCGTGCGATCGATACTCGAATTATGCAGTAGCTTTCCGGTGGAACTGGTGGAAGCTCGTTGTCGTTCACGTGCATTTTGGATAGGCCCCGTACCCAATCTTTTCATTGGTGCTCCATCGAGGTGTCCTGTTTGTTGATTATAGGGTACCTAAATTAATTTGGGGTACCCCGTAAACGCTTCAGCATCGGTTGCTTGGCCACGATGGTCGTTCTGAAGGGTCCCTCGAAAACAAGTGGGGTACCGCAATAATGGGCCGCCAAGATACACGCGTAAATTTAGCACTTTGGATTGGTTCTGCGATGAAGCGAAAGTCCATCTCAAGCGACGTCGTCTCGGCGCTGGCCGGCGTCGAGGTGGCCTTCGAGCCGCTGCGCCGCCACGCCGACGACGCGTCGCTGCCGCGCGCCTGCCAGCAGAAGATCAAGGCCGTCCAAGCAGCGATCGCCGACCTGCGCAAGGAGCTCACGTCGCCCTCCAAGAAGCCCAAGTCGGACGACAAGAGCGAGTTTGTCTGCGTGAAAACAGCCATGGCGCAGCTGCAGATGCGCATCCAGGCCGAGCAGACCACGGGCAAGGTCGACGCAGACGCGACCGAGTCGGAATCGGACGAACCCAAACCGTCGATGCCCGCGCCAAAACGCCTGCGGCGTCCCGTGCCTGCGCGCCAAGACGACGACACTGCGTCGGAGGAGGACGTCTTGCCACGTGTGTCATCGCCGCCCGTGCGCGTCAAGGTCGAGCCAACGTCGCCTGTCCCGTCCGTGCCCTTCAACACGGAGGTGGCCAGCGACGTCTTTGGTGGCGGCTGGAACGACGACGACAACAGTACAGAGAATGGCAGCGACGAAGACGAAGTCGCCGACGTGCAGGAGCCTGCAGCTTTAAAGGTTTCTGCGGTGGCTGACCAAGAAGCGTCCGAGGACGACGAAGCCCCCGAGGACGAGGCAGCTACGGCGATGAAAGCAACCTCCGTTGTCAAAGCTGCACCGGCGAATGACGCAGCATCCGAGAGCGACGCAGCGTCAGAGAGTGAAGTCGAAGACGAGGACATGGACGCCACGCAAGACGAGGAAGTCGAAGTGAGCATCAAGGAAGAACCCGGCGCGGAGCTCAGTGCGATGTCGACGCCATTTCTGCAGCCGGCGCCGTCGCCGCCCAAGCCGACGAAGATGCTGTCCCTCGCAGCCCCCGTCAAGGTCGAGGTCAAGACAGAGGCGGTTGTCAAAGTCAAGCCATCCCTGGTCATCGAGACATCGCCGCCACCGCGTATCCTCTCGGAGCTCGACTCGATTGCCATCAACCACGTCCACCTGGCTTTGAGCTCTTGCTCCGAAGAAGAAGACGACGAGGAAGAAGAGGTCGAAGTCGAGGAAGATGTCGAAGTCGAGGAAGACGTCGAAGACACCGAGGAAGATGAGAAGGAAGAGCACAAGGAGGCTGAAACGGAAGAGAGCGACCAGGACGACGAGGGGGAAGCAGGTGACGATGGGGACGCGACCGTCGACACGACAAAGCCGCCCGCGCGGACCTTCCACCCCGTGCCCGTGCGACGCCCGTCGACGCCGCCGTCGTCCGACTCGGAGGATGATGACGAGCCTTTCCCGAAGAAGCACCTCGTGAGCGCGCCCAAGATCTCGGCCGACCTCTGGCCGTCGCTCAGCGAGCTCTACAGGGCGATCGTGCATCCGTCGAAACCCGAGCTCCTCCCGAAAAAGTTTGCATTTCCGGCAACGTACGCGAGGTACCCCTTCGTTTTCTGCGTTCAAGAGTACAGAATCCGTCTAGTCTGGACGAGTACATGGACAACATGAAGCGAGCGATCTTGGAGGAGGCGCTCACGGGCATCCAGGACGTCAACCAGCACGGCGGCGGCGCGGACAAGGTCCGGTTCCTCTCACTGAGCGAATACACAAAAGGCCTCCAGCTCGCAGCGTTCTCGCTGCCCGAGCACCTCGTCTTGACCAACAACGATATGGTCGAGCTCTGCCGCATCAAGAACAAGCGCCCGTCGCCATTGCGGGGCGTGGTCTACTCGGCCGCCAACACCAAGTACAACCTCGCACAAGCGTTGGCCTCGAGACGCTACCTCTCTTGTTGTAGCAACAAGGAAGTGACGATCGTTCTGTCCGAGAAGCACCAGATTGAAGCCGGCGCCTACTCAATCAAGGTATCAGGAGGCTCCGATTGGCAGCTCAGCGCAGCTCGTGTAGATCCTCTCGAACCTCACGACGTGCTCCCGCGAGTACCAAGCCGTGTTGTCACTGCCGACGCTGCCGCTCATGCTGCGCAACCTCATTGTCGCCGCCGAGGTCCCGACGTCGAGCCTCGGCCGCGGCGCCGGCGTGCGCCCGCTCATGCTGGCCGCGCTGCAAGAGAAATACAACAAGTCGCAGCTCCGAGCGATCCAGTCGGCCGTCGAGCGGCCATTGACGCTCATCCAGGGCCCGGTACTCGGGTCCTTCTCGCTACGATCTGACAGCGTTGCATGCTGTAGCCAGGCACGGGCAAAACCCGAACGATTGTCGGGCTCATTGGGTACGACCACGCGACATGCACTAGACGATGTTTACGCGATCGTGTAGTGCGCTCTTGAGCGGGTCGGGCATGCAGGCGACGACGCAAGCCAACGCACGCGTCTGCGTCGGCGCGTCACTCGGTCTGCAGCTCTCGGAGAAGGACCGCGCGGCGATGGCGGTCCGGCTTCTCGTCACGGCGCCGAGCAACGCCGCCGTCGACGTCATCATCCAGCGGCTCCAGGCCGACGGCGTCTTCAACGTCAAGGTAGATTGACTACACATGGGACAAACCACGTCAACGCGGTGTAGACCAAGACGTACGAAGTGCCGACGATGGTGCGGATCGGGTCGATGCCAGGGCTCAAGCAGACGCCGACGTCGCAGCGCCACAAGAAGCAGTACAAACAGACGTCGGCGGCGTCCATTTACCTCGATCAGCTCGTCGAGCAGCAGCACGGCCAGCGGCGTGAGCAAAACTGGAACCCGATGCAGGTAGACGTCGTCGCATTCGTTTCTTCGTGCTCAGTTGTCCTAGGTCCGCCAAGAAATTTTGCAGAAAGCCCAAATTGTGTTTTGCACGCTCTCGGGCGCGGGCTCGATCTCCATGTGCGACTTCCGGCAGAGCTTTGACGCGGTGATCGTCGACGAAGCCGCGCAGGCGACCGAAGCGAGCTCGCTCATCCCGCTCAAGTTTCAAGCGACGCGCTGGATCCTTGTCGGCGACCACAAACAGCTCCCCGCGACCGTGCTCTCGCCGGTATCGAACCCTGACCCGCTTAAATATTGGTCAGCAATCGATATATTGGTCTAGCGCTTGATGCGCATGGGGTACGAGACGAGCATGTTCCAGCGCCTCGTCGCGTCCAACGACGTGCACTTTCTCACGAAGCAGTACCGTATGCACCCGCACATTGCCCAGTACGTCGAATCTCAATCTGAATCTCACAATCCTTGTGGCTAGGTTCCCGTCGGCCATGTTTTACGACGGCCAGCTGCAGCACGGCGGCGTGCCCCGGGCGCGGCCGTACCACGCGACGCCGGCATACGGCCCGTATGTGTTCTACGACATCGTGCAGGGCGAGCAGAGCAAGGCCGAGGGGTCGACGTCGTACCGGAACCTGCCCGAAGTCGCGTTCATCGTGTCGCTCGTCAAAGGCCTCGTGCAGTCGCACCCGGACTACGCGTTTCGCGGCAAAATTGGCGTCATTTCGCCCTACAAGTCGCAGATCCACGAGCTCTCGACGGCCTTTCTCAAACTCAACTATGGCCAGCTCGTTGAGGTCAACACCGTCGACGGCTTCCAGGGCCGTGAAAAGGTATGGGTTCCCACCACTTACCGGGCTAGTGACAACTAAGAACTAGGAAATCATCATCGTCTCGTGTGTCCGGACCGTGCGCGGCCGAGAGAACGCGTTCTGGGGCGACACGCGCCGCATGAACGTGGCGTTGACGCGGTACGTACACAGTGTGGAGATGACGCATGAACTCGAATTAGCGCCATCGCGAGCTGCTGGGTCGTCGGCAACTCGGCGCTCCTGAGCCAGAACACGGCGTGGTGTACGCTCATCGAAGACTGCAAGGCGCGCCAGTGCTACCGCAGCGTCGACCTCTAGAAGAACACCAAGGACTATTATTTCGTGCACGCATTTGTCGTCTAATATGTCTAATGCTGTTCGTCAAAGGCCGCCGTCGTGCTGGTGAGGGCCGCGTTGACTAGCAGTGTCAACACTCAGAGAGACAAGGAGGTGGGTGGACGTACCCGCGGCCGCCGTCGGGAGCTCGGCGTAGACAGACTGCAGCTTTTGGAGCGCAAACTGGTGCAGACGCGCGTTGAGCTCGCGGTCGTCCTTCTCGGGGCGCGTCGTCTTGGTCGACGCGATCGCCGTCGTGCACTAGTATCGCCGCGTCGTTGGCCTAAGATCGTAGTCGCGGGACGTACCATGACGAGACCGACGAGCCCGCGCGTGCTTTGCGCATTCAAGTCGAGCGCGTGGGCAAAGTGCTTGCGCGCCGTGCGGAGGTTGTCGAGGCCGCCGATCGTGACGTAGAGCTACAATCCAGCACATGAGCGTCGACGGCAGCGCATGGTGTCAACCTCGGCCAGGCGCGTATGGTTGAGCGCGTCGAGCGGGTTGAGCAGAATGAGCTCTTCGTAGCAAAAGGCAGCGTGCTTGTAGTTGCCGAGGCTCAGGTACAGCTCCGAGAGCTCGCACCAGGCGCCCGCATCCGTCTGGAAGCAGCGCAGGAGCGCGTTCAGCTTCGAAATCGCGTCCTCCGTGCGGCCTTGGGCCCGCAGCAGCGACACCTGGCGCTTCATCACGAGCATGTTGGCCGGGTTCTTGGCCAGAATGTCCTTGTAGAGCGCGTCGGCCTGCGCGTACTTGCCTTGCGCCTCAAAGATCATGCCTTCGAGGCGAAGCACGCGGGACGAGTCTGGGAACTTGTTCTTAAGCGCGAGAAACGTCGAGTCGACAACGTCCATCGCGCCCAGGTCGAGCGCGGCGAGGAGCACCTGCTCGTGGATCGTCCAGAGCGCGTCGCCGAGGCCCCCGCGGGCCACGAGCGCCCGGCCGACCTTGACAACCACGTCGGGCACGCGCAACTTCTCCTTGCGCACGAACTCGAGCAGCTCGAGGCCCTTCTCGCGGTCGCCATGCGCGGCCGCCGCCAGCTTTGCTTCGTACACGTCCATCTCGCCCGTCGTCAGCCGCCGGTTCTCCAAATCCTTCAGGCAGTAACAGTATAAACACGTAAGCGTTAAACAGGTTTAACGTATTTGACGTGGTGAAGACGTTAAATGGGTTCTACGTCGGTAGCGTGTTTTTAGTCATCTATGATTTTCGACTAACTTGTCGTTCGAGTTTAGTAGGTGAGGGGGTGAGCGTGTTTTTAGTCATCTATGATTTTCGACTGACTTGTCGTTCAAGGTGAGGGGGTGAGGGCTACTAGTACACGCGATCGAAGCTTCAAATGCATGTATCGAGTGGAGGCAACGTAGCTGCTTGCGTCGTTATAAGCTTATGGCGCATCCGAGCTCCCAGACGGAGCTCAGGCCACCGTGTGGTGGCAAGGCCTGCAGCAAACCGCCGTGTTCTACCAGCTCTGCCTCGCATGCATCTTTGGTTAAACCAGCGTGGCGCCGAGGTCAATGTCGTCGTGTCGTAGGCACATAGCGTCGATGTCCTTGTCTCTGGCGACACTTCTGCCCTCTCTTGCCGACTCGTGTGGATCTTTCTAGTGCTGACAGCCTTCGATCCGAGGCCGCCCCTCGGTTGTTCCACGACGTAGGACATGGGCAGCAGCGCATCACAATCATTTTCAAGCCCCTCGTGGCAGCACGAGGACGCTGGTTCTTCGTAAGTGCGCCGTCTGGCGTACTTGATCGGATGGCGATGGTTGCGCAATCGCATTTTTGCGCAACCACGTCCAAGATCCTTTTGGCACCCGGCAGAATTGCATTTGCCGTCAACTGGAGATGGCCCGCCCGATGAACGTGATCGAGAAGATCCTGTGCCACCACGCGGTCGGCCTCAGCACGCCCAGCGTGACCGTCGGCGACGTGCTCTGTGTCAACGCCGACTGGACGCTCGCGAGCGAGCTCACGTTCCAGGGCATGGAAACTTTGTACGCCTCGATCGGCCGGCCCAAGCTGCACCGCCCGGACCGCTTCTGGCTCGCGATCGACCACACGGTGGACCCGCGCGTGAACCACCAGTCCAAGCAGCAGGCGCTCATCAAGCTCGCGACCGACTTTGCCACCGAGCACAACGTCTCGGACTTTTGGGAGCCCAACACGACCATCATGCACACCGAGTTTGCCCGCAAGCGCGCGCAACCCGGCCAAATCGTCATTGGCGCCGACTCGCACACGTGCAGCGCCGGCGGGATGGGCGCGTTCGCCGCGGGCCTCGGTGCTGGCGACGTTGTCATGCCGCTCGTGACGGGCCAGACGTGGTTCAAGGTCCCCGAGGTTGTCTACATTGAGTTTGTCGGGCAGCCCGCGCTCGGCATTGGCGGCAAGGACATCATCCTCCACATCCTCGGCCACCTCAAGCGCAACACAGTCGCGTTTGAGCGCGCGGTCTATTACGGCGGCGCTGGCATCGCGCACCTCTCGGACGACGCGCGGTTCGCGATCGCCAACATGAGCACCGAGTTTGGCGCGATCGCTGGCGTCTTTGAAGCCGACGAGATCACAGCGCGCGTGCTGGAAGGTCGGACGTCGCACAAGGACGAGGGCCTCTACTTCCGCCCAGACGAAGGCTGCACTTACGCTGCGCACCACGTGATCCGCCTCGACGAGGTGCAGTCGATGGTCGCGGTGTACCCGTCGCCCGACAACTGCGCGCCCATCTCGGAGCTCACGCACATGGCGCTCGACGGCTGCTTCATCGGCGCGTGCACGACGACGCAGGAAGATTTGATCCTCGGCGCCATGGTGCTGCAGATCGGGCTGAGCTCGGGCAAGATCCCCGTGGCGCGCGAAGGCAAGCCGTACCGCCGCCGCGTAACGCCCGGGTCGCTCGAGATCGTTGCGCGCCTCCAGACGCTCGGGCTTCTCAGCGTCTACGAGGCCGCGGGTTTTACCGTTGGCGTGCCGTCGTGCTCGTTCTGCGTTGGCATCGGCGCCGACGTAGCGCTCGAGGGCGAAGTCTGGCTCACGTCGCAGAACCGCAACTTCCGCAACCGCATGGGCCGCGGGTCCATCGGGCACCTCGCGTCGGCCGTCGCCGTCGCCGCCTCCAGCTTCTCGATGACCGTGACCGACCCCTCGCCGTTGGTCGCGCAGATCGACTTTGCCTTGTTTGACGCGTACCGCGAGTGGTCGCCCTCGAGCCCGGCGCCGGCCTATGCGATCGCGACGCCGGCGCCGGTGCTGAGTGCCATCTCGGTGCCCGAATCGCCGGCGTCGCCGACCGCCAAGCCGCCGCCCGCGCAGTTTTCCGGCCGCGTTCAGGTGTTTGAGGACAACGTCGACACGGACGCGATCATTCCGGCGCAGTTCATGGGCCTCAACCCCACGTCGCCGCTGTGGCCCGCCGAGTGCAAGACCGAGGAAGAGGTCCTCGCCTCCAAGTCGTTTGCCTATACGCGCCCCGAGTTTGTTCAGCGCGCGCGGGACGGCGCCAACATCATCGTCGCCGGCTCGGCCTTTGGCTCGGGCTCGTCGCGCGAGGAGGCTGCGCGGTGCCTCAAAGCACTGGGCATCCAGGCGGTCATTGCCAAGTCGTTTGCGTACATTTACGCCCGCAACCAACCCAACAACGCACTCCTCGGCATCGTCATCACTAACGAGCGCTTCCACGCGCTTGCGACCGAAGGCGCCGAGGTCCACGTCGACCTCCCGGGCCGCGTCGTCGTGGTCTCTGGCGAGTCGTTCCCGTTCCAGCTCACGGCGCTCGAGGAGAGCTTCCTCAACGGCGGTGGTCTCCAGCAGCTCTTCCGCCGGTACAAGACCGACCTCTTCCGCGCCGCCATGCAGCAAAAGGCGAGCACATGGACAACGGCGTGTGGCAGCAGCACCGAGTGCGGGTCGCCGGGCGCCAACGAGCAGTGGTAGACACATCTAGACAACATATAT